GGAATCTACAAAAATAAAATCTCCCCAAAAAATTCAAAATTTTACATACATACGTTTACATATATTACTGTCCTTTTCCCATAATCAACAAGCGACGACTTAGGATATATTTTTTTATTACAGGGCTTTGAAATTATTGCTGTACTCTATTTGCCCACATTTTAATATAAGTATTTCCTCCCATTCCTCTTCAGTTTTCAACGGACCATTACACCGAACCGAATGATTTTTTTTTTTTTTTGAAAGGATTGCAACATTGTTTATCAGTTGCTAGGAACCTTCTGGGTACCTTAGTATTTAAATTTATTTGGCAGCTATTCTAGAGCACGCCAAGCTCAATTTAAAATGCCAAAAAATAAATTTACAAACAACTAGAAATCGGCCGACAACAAAAAAATATGTACTACTATAGTAGGTATGTATTTAAATAAACCCAAAGATAATGAATGGTACATGTTTTGTTATTGTTCTTCTTTCTTTTTGTTGTTTAAAACATCACAACATTAGAAAATGCAATGAAGAAAAAGCTAATTAAAATAGAGAGAAAGAAAAAATAATAAATTAACAATAACAAGACGGCTTACAAGTGAAAATTATGTCTTGAAATTCTTTTCTCCAAGAGTCTGGCGGCGGACTAACTGAGAAGCTGGTTGCTCAAATGCTTGACGAGTTGGCGGTATTTATTAACCACCAACAGAATGAAATTCAAAATAAAAAACAAACCAAAGGTAGACTAAAAACAGACAAACAAACGAAAAAACCAAAAGACTAGAAATTCCAACTGTTAGTTTTGCGGTTGTTATTGTTGTTTTCGTTTCGAACTGAAAAAATGTTACAACTGATTTTTTTTTTGTCATTTTTACGTTAAGCAGCGCGCTATGGTGTTCTTATTCTTTTATGGGTTGTGTTCTTCTTCTCTTTTGTGTTTTCTTCTTTAAAGTTATTTTTAAATATCCGGAACACGGAATATACACAAATGTAATGTAATTTTTTGCTTCTTCTACTCACAAACAAGTAGCAGCATAGTTTTTTACAACCATGCTCACAACTAAATGCAAATGCATGGAGAGATAGATAAAAGAGAAAATAACTACAATGAGAATCCGTAGTATGGCAGAGAGAATGGAGGAGAATACATCGTGAGTGGAACAAGAACTTATTGAAGCCATCATAAGTGCATACGACTGCAAAGAAGCCGACTGACTATCCGATAAGAAGACAGACAGCTAGGCATGCAGGCAATCATCCAGAGTGTAAAGTGGCCGAAATGTATGTACATATGTGTGTTATGACTAAAACAACCCCCTCACACCCTGTCTTCTTTATGAATGATAAACAAATACCTTCCTATCACCCATGTGCAAACTTTTTCGATGTTGTGTTCGTGTGTGTAATGTTGGTGGCGGTGGTTCATAAAAACAAAATAACCCGGCCATCTCTAATCGAATTATTGGCAAAATGAAACCGATACAATTAGAAACATTGTTGAAGGCATGGTACATACACACATCAACTGCAATCGATAACAGATGAGATGAACACAACACAACAGAAAAGAGAAAACGCTACATTTGCAACACTTCACGGTTTGACAGAGAGAGGCATCATATATTTTTATCTTCGGTGATGCATAGAACTTATCTCGCCCTCTGTCCCCTTTGATTGTTGATGTTTTGGCAGTTTTGGTAGTTGTTGCAACTATTATGGATGAGGGTTTATCAATTTAACTAGGCTTGGTAAGCCGCTCATAAAAATTTAATTGTGTCAACTTGTGAAAAAAGTAACAACTCTAATTTAACGGAATCACTTGTGTGTTTTTTAAAGGTAGGTATTTGTAGCCTTAATCCAGTATAGTATTTTTCTTGGGGGACGTTCTAGGATGCCCGGACAGATGACCTTTTGAAGAAAATTTTTTGTTGCAAAATTTGCTAACGACACTGTCTATTCTTTGTTATAAAGTGTATAATTTAAAAACTTTGTATAATTTATAAACAATTTGTAATTTGGAGGAATTTAGGTATGGGTGCTATAGCTAAATCTTAACCGATTTTCAGAAGAAAATTGACATACTTATTTCTAGGCTTAACTTGGTCATATGTGAAAAATTAATACTATTTCTACTCATATTACACCTTTGACGTACAATACACTTCAAATCGAACGTAGATATAGATGGGAAATATATTTAATCTGAACCGATTTCGTCAAAAATTGTCAAGGTTATTTCCCGGCTGTATCACAATAGGTACGAAATAAGGCCGATTATCACCAATTTCAATAGTGGTTGTCTTTGGGCCAAACAAATGATCTTTGCAAAATTCCATTACACTCGAACAGTTCGTGGATGGGCCACATAGGTCGACTACTTGCACTTCTGGTATCCTAATTCGTTCAAATAATTATGCCGATTATCGGCCCCTACTACGGGTTCCTCTACCATCAAGGGTTAAAAATGAATCAGTTTCAGTCAAGATACAGGACAAATTGGCCATATTGGAACATATCTTCTGATACTCCCCACAAACATTCCAAATATTCAAATTTTTATAAATCTAATTGAAATCGTGAAGAATATTCAATTTAGTTGTAACTTCCCAAATCCTACAATTTTTATCAAACCTAAGTCATATGCGAAAGTTTTGTAACATCGAGCCATCTGTTCTGGTTCATCAACTCTCTTTAAGCAATGCACATTAAAATATTTCTGCTACCTCTTTATGTACAGGGTGAGATGAAAAACTGCAACCAACTCCAGACTGCTGTCATTTCTAAGCCACTCGTCCGACAGCTGTTAAAATTATTCCAGTGACACCTCATTATATTGTTTACAAGCGTACAAAAGCATTTTGGTGAGAATTTTCCAGAAAAAAATTATTCGTGATGGAATTCAGGCGTGATAGTGTGATTTCTTTGTCTTGCCTGGAAAACCACAAGTGGCTATCGTTAGAGCACTCCAACATTTAAATGTGAATAAATCTTTTGTGCCTCGTACCATCGCTCGTTATACTGGTAGCGTAGCCCGACTTCAAGGAAATGGACGGAAGAAAACAGCAACATCAGCAGAAATGGTTCGAAAAGTAAAGAAGCGACTTGATCGAAAACCGCGTCGCAGTGGCCGAAAAATGGCTCGTGAGCTGAACATATCGCAATATTCCATTCGGCAACTATTGAAAAATGAGCTCGGGGTTAAGCCATTGAAATTCCAAAAAGTGCAATAACTTACACCGAAACAGAAAGAAAATATACTCAAAAGAGCTAAAGAGTTGCTTCGCTTGGCCGAAAGTAGTGAACTGCCGAATTTGGTTTTCTCCGATGAGAAAACATTCTTTGTCCAGCAGTTTGTAGACAAACAAAATAATCGTGTTTACTTGCCAAAGAGGTCAGCTGAAAATGTGCACCTTCGGTTGGCCAACAGGACTAAGCACCATCGCACTCAGCACGCGCCACCCAAGAATGGTTACAAAATGAGGTTCCTCGCTTCATTTCCAACGCACAATGGCCACCAGAATCTTCGGATACCAATACATTGGGCTATTGTGACTGAAGTATTTTGGAAAGCAAGGTTGGCTCTAAAAAAATACCAGTGTCGATCACCTCAAGCAAGCGCTTCGCCGGGAATGGGCTAAAATACCACAGAGCAACATTCGGGCAGCGTGTTTCATTGGCCGTTTGAAGGGCATTATTCGTGCCATAGGTGACCAATTCGAACAAATGTAAATTTATTCTTAAATGTTATACTATTTCCGACATTTTTTGCTTTTTGCAAAAAATGTAAAAGCTATGGCGTTTGACTTTGACTTTGATTTTGTTTGTTGTTTATTTTTAATCTCACCCTGTATGTATATCAAAGATCATAATTTTGAAGAAAAATAACCATTTTTTAATATGTAAAAATAATTTCCGATGTTCTTTAAATTTCACACATTTCAATATTTCTCCCAATGCAAGATCTAACGTAAAAATGGGATATACGGTCAGCTTCTTTGGAACCTCACCCCCAAAAAAAGGAAACTTCGATCAGACCATATACTAAAGATATATAGCTGTCAACAATATGACTGATGCATGCATTCCTATTTGTTTGAAGTTATTATTATTATTTCTTTTTGAAATTGCACTTATTTGTTTTTTTGCTTTTACATGCTTTACACCAGAATTTGGGGCCATCGTTGCTTTAGATCTATACGCGACACAAATTCCACCAACATTTATCGGACACAACAGATTTTCGTAGCAATAAAGTTAACACTCGAAATCCCAATCAGAAGCTCAAATTGCAGTTGTTCTCATTTTAAAATTTAATTCAAGAAAAGAGTACAACAGGGCTTTTATAAAATTTAGGTTTCTATTTCTATTTTTCTGCATTTTTTTTTTCTTATCAATTCCATAAATTAATAAACGTATGTAGTTTTCTATGCCGGCGCGAAAAATAATAAATAATCACAACAATTTTGCTAGGCACTCGAAACTTATCTTGTTTTGATTAAAATTAATTTTTTTTACAATTCCACTTTTTTACACATTCCTTGGCCGATAAGCTCTTAAGGCCTAAAATAACAATTTAACACACATAGGTTTTTTTAATTTCATATTTTACTTTTTATTACATTTCTCTTGTATTAATTCACAATTTTCTAAAAGCAACGTTCAATTTATAACACAATTCACCCTATGATACAACATTATTATTTTTCATCACTCTGTTTTGATTTTGAGACGAAAAATACAAACAAGAAGGAAGGTGGAAAACAGACGGCACACAAAACAAGCAACAAAAACAAAACCTTCCGCCGTACCCTACAAGAGACGACGATTAATGTCAAGAAAAAAGAGAACCAAACACACACACACACTTGCCCGCACATGTATACCAAATGAGAATGATGGATAAACAAATACATTGTGCATCTTTTTTGTTAAACAATTTCGTTCATAGAACTAAAGTATGGATTTTTCCAAAACAATTTAAGAACGACAACTTGTAAAAGAAATATATTTACTTTGATTTAAAAACTGGAACTCGGCAAAAAGTAATCCGTAATCCACATTTGGAGTAAATGAGAGTAACGTACGTAGTTATTCTTGTTGTTTTCTTAGACAACTTTTTTTCGTTTGAAATGTAACTTTTGAAGTTATTTTCTTTCACTCAATGGACAGACAGACAGAAACAACACTTTTCTTTCTTGTTGTATATTTAGTTTTATCCAGACACAACAGACACTTGCACTGTAATTTTCTTCAACATCATATTTTTGTTGTTATAGGTGTATTGCAATTGTAGCGTATTCTTTTCCGCAAACATAATTTAATTTCCTTTTCACATTTTCGTTTTGGTTTTTATTATCTTCAATTACTGACATTTTCGCATTTTCTGCGTTTCTTTTACACTTTGTTTACTTCCGAAAATTCCAAGTTGTGGCAATAAAACACTTTTCTCAGATCAATTTTCTTACATTTATTTTATGTTTTATATCGTAAATTTCTTTCCAATTGGATAATATAATTCATTTTTATTTTAAATACATATTTTTCGATTATTTAAGCTTGCGGCCTGGGCTTAATGTGCTTAATTATTGGAATTTTTAGGATTTTCACGAAAACAAGTGACGCGAAACACCCTTGCGCTCTATTTGACTTTTCGACATCGACTGAATGTAATAGGGATACGTAAGTCGAGTGGTCGAGTTTCGATAAAACGATTAATCGCCTTTTGGGTGTTGAAAAGCCTACAAGTCGACATTGATTTTTGCAGGTGGTGAAAATCGCAAAGTTGAGTTTACAAAATCGATTTGATATTTTGAGATTATTGGTTTTTGGTCGACATTTCGTTATTACACGAACTAAATGTTCAAATAATGTAATTGTTAAGTAGGATACACACTTTCTATAAATACTGTCAGCTGTACACAAATGTCGATCATTTTTGTTAGTTTCTTTACAGTGACCACATTGCCATTTAAGTGGGACTTCAAACTGCTAGTCAATTTAAAAATATACTAGGAAGTAATTGACAAAATTTATTATAAGCAACACATGGAAAATAATTGATTCTTTGAAATGTGGTTACCTTGATTTCACTGTACCATGATCTATCTATTCAATGTTTAAACATTTTCTATCAACCATTGTACGATGAAGAGAAGGTAGGCTATGTTGGAAAATGTTGCAAATAGAGGGACCTACCCATGGTACAATGATATCAAGGTAGGGCTATGATACCATATGATTTCAATTTTTTTATTTTCTTGGCTTAATATGTCATCTTTATTTGTTTATGTATTTGTTTTCTTTTCAATAACAAACAAATTGTTCAGAAAATATTTAAATTCGGGTGTTTTCAAAATGTTTATTTCAATGTATGCATCGACAAAGTCAAGAGTTTTTTGTAGCGAAATAATCCTTTAGAGATATATAGTACATGATTTTGAAAAGATGTGTTGACCTTTGATTCAGTTATCGCGTTTTTTCAATTATTTATTCAAAATAAATGCAACAAGTTGTTTGATTTTTTATTGTTTTGATACTAATTCTGACATTACAAGCCAAACAGGTAGACCTCTATACTTGCAATTTTTTCAAAGTTGGCCTACCTTCTCTTCATTGTACCATGGACCTACCTATATGAATTGTAATGTCAGAATTACTTTCAACAAATGCAACAAGCTGTCAAATAAACAGAACAACTTGTTGTATTGATTTTGAATAAATAAATAAATAAAAACACGAAAAATTAATAAAAAGTTAAATGTACTATTATCTCTAAAGATTTATTTCGCAACAAAAAGTGTAAATTTTGCTCATACATACGTTGTAATAAGCATTTTGATTACAACAGAATTTGAACATTTTCTAAACAACTAAAGTTGATGTTAAGTCAGAAAATGAAAAACATTATAATCGATTAGTAGCAGAGCCCTACCTTGATTTAATTGTACCAGTATACAAAGTATTCAAGGTTATTTCAAAAAAAATAAAAACAATCTCTGGATTTCTACTAAAAGGAATACAAATTGAATGAAATTGATCGTATTGTCAATTTTTGGCTAATTTCTTGTGTTATTATTTTTGACAGAATTAATTTAAATAAGTAAAAAAGCTGAATACCCTCCACCATTTGGATCGAATTTGGCAAATCCGTTAAAAATTCTGTTGTATTAGGGTCTGTCTTAGGCTGTAGTATTCATTATGAACTTGAAATACCAAATTTGAAATAATTCCGGTGAATAATGTCGCTAAAAGCATCAAAAATCCGAATATCGGGAGTTACCGTTATATGGGGGCTATACGAAGACGTGGACCTGCACAAACAATCTTATGTCATAGGCTATAGCATCCATTACGAACATAAAATACAAAATTTGAAACAATTCCGGTGAGTAGTGTCGCTAAAACATCAAAATACCGAATATCGGGAGGTACAGTTATATGGGGGCTATACCAAAGCGTGGACCTACATATTATACATTTGAGTATGGAAGCTAGAGTGATTTCCACAGACGGACGGACATCGCTAAATCGACATAGAATTTTATGTTGATTTTATACACTTTGTGGGGTCTAAAATGTATATTTCGAGGTGTTACAAACGGAATATCAAACTTAATATGCCCTTCACCATAGAAATAATATGCCATGGACAGAAAAGACAGTAATGAAAAAGAAAACTCCCGAAAATAATTGTCTTGTATAAATGCAAAATGATACTTCAAAACGGAACGAGAAAATTTGCTAACAGTAAACTCGCCTAGAGAATCAGGACGAAGGATGAGAAGAAGAATTGCAAGAATAAATTTGTGCAGAATGATATGTCACAAAATATATCATGCGAAGACTGTTTATGTACCTACACCTTAAGGTGTATTTATGTTCAGGATAGAAGACAAGTTGTATTTTTAATATTCTTGTATCAATTCTTTAACAGAGTTCAATGAATACGATCATGTATGTCGAAAAAATGGATGGGAAAGAAAAACATCAATGCTGCATGTTTTTTGTTTACATAAATCTCAAAAAATTAGTAGCTCCCTTATGCTCCATGCTAAATGCATCTTCACTGCTTTTTTATGCCGTGCACACCAAATCGCAAATGTTTCCGTAAATTTAAAACTGTATTTGCTCAAAACAACACATTGGAAGATGTATTTTTCTGCAGGCAATCACCAACATGAATAAACACTTATTTTTCGACATCAATTGACCCCATATTAGCTTTCAAAATGTTTGGCTTTTTTAAAACTTACGTTGATTTTAATGTTGTCATTATTCTACTACACTTCTACTAATTTAGGTTTTTTAAAAATACAATGCGCTATGACTTTAGTTTTCCAAGTATAACAATTTTATTAGCGTAAATAACATATTCCTTAACCCATTACTTCTTCTTAATGTATTTCATATATTTCTTTGCGTTAAAGTTATCTTCTACTTCTTCAACCACATTTATCTTTCTACGTGGTTTGCGGGCCTCTAAACGAGCCTTGCGTTCAGCTTCTGTTAACGTGCTTAGGTCCAAAGGTAACTGAAATAGATTAAGATATATATTAGTTTTAATTTAAAAAAAATTGTGGATTTTATATTAAGCTGTGTATGTGTATGTGTAATCACGCTACATTTCACAATTATAAACCGAACCTAACGAAAACTTGCTTTGAGTCAGGGTAAGGGTCTAGATAGAAGCCTTTAGGGCTTGAAATGGACCGAAACCGATTTTTTTTCAGATTTTGAAGTCTCTCTACAGGTCATAATTATAGATCGATTTTTTGCATTGGGTAGAGTTTAGGCGAGGAAAAAGCGCACCAGTTTGAATGACAACAGGATAAAGTATATGTTTAACTTTTGTGCATGAATGGTTGATATTGTTTGGATGTCTAGTTTGACATTTTTGTTTTGGTTGGATTTTGTTGCCTATAGAAAAAAACCAAAAATTCTATTTCTGCAATTTACTTTGCACAAGATCACATATTAACTTCTATTTCTTTTATGAATGCAATATTCAAATATGTTGTCGATTTCTATGCAGGGATTCTAAAGTTTCTCTACGTAGCGGCTTTAGTCTCAGAAGAATTAGCTGTGTTTAGGGGCTTGCTCGGATCATTTTGAAATGTTTATCATTTGGTATATGTATAATAGCCCTCATACTCATAAGTCGACTATGATTTATACAGGAGTTATGATACCACCAAAAACCCGTAAGAATTCTTGTATTCGTCTTATTATTCTTAAAATAGAGCAAGACAATGTCTTTTCAGTCCCTTAGCTTGACTTAGGACTACTGTGATCAAGAAAATCTGAGTAGGAAACTATTGATGTATTAAGCCAACTAATAAAAATATTTACCTTAATAATCTTTCTTGGTTCTCCATAGCGAATGTTAATTGTAGATCCATCTGGCAAAACAACAACAGTTGGATATTGACGAGCATATATGGAGCGATGTAATCTTGTAACAGCTGTAGAGGCGGATGAGATATATCTCACCGGTTGTTCCACCAAAGGTTTAACGTATTTCAACAACATTTTCCGCAACAAATGTTTAATTTATAAATATTTTAATTCAACAAATGTAAAAAATTATTACGAAATGGACATTATTGATGTGTGTTTCTACCGGAATGAGTTTGTTCAAAGAAAATATTCTCCGAAAGAGCTATCGGAACTAGATTCAGGTAAACGTTCACCTAGTTCCTTTATTTCATTTTGCTCCTTTACTAGCTGAAAGCCCACATTTACAAGTGCAAAGTTTGCAAAATGTAAATCTTGTAGATTCTTGCAGGTTCTGGAACAAAAAATTTATTTTAACCTCTATTTTACTTCCATTTTTCCACAGCCCGCGAAAAAGTAGAAATGGTACTACGATAACCGATTTTTTTATGATATCGAGAAAATTGCAAAAATGGTAGAGTCTTGCAGGTTGCGCAACAGAACATCTGAATATCTATTTACGAACTATAGGGCTGTTCCAGAACCTGCAAGAAGCTATTAGATTTGTAATTTCTTTCGATATCATAAAGGGAAAATCTGTTATCGTAGTAAAAACTTTTACAGACCATATATATCCACTATATATGTAAATACGATTGACCCAATTCACACGAGAGTAATTTTTATTCCAAACAACATTTTTCATTCCAAAACTCACGAGACTAATGAACAGGTAAACCTCTATACATGCATTTTTTTCAAAATTGACCTACCTTCTCTTCTTTGTACCATGGGTATACACAACTTTGTGTGTTAGTATTTTTTTTTATTTATTTTGTTTTCATGAGTGTGGATGTATTAGTTTTGTTCTGCTAATGCGGGGTTGAAGTTGGATGAAATTTTAGTCCAACCAAAAACGACTCTCCTCACCGAATATGCCTAGAAGCTTCTTTGTTGGACCAGAACAATTACTCTCGTGTGAATTGGGCCATTTACATAAAATATAGGCCATGGAACAATAAAAGGTAAGGTCATGATTACATTTTTTTGTAATGCCCGACTAGTCCCAATTTTTTGTCTGTTCCAGAACCTGCACAGATCTACTAGTCTTTCAATAAGGAAAAATCGGTTAACGTAGTGAAAATTTTGACCTTTTTGCAGTTCTGGAACAAAATCAATGATTGACGCGAAGTGCTTAGGAAAATTATTTGTCAGTTTTGGCATGAAATTGAAAAATTTGGATAACATTTTTGAAAGAAAATCCAGACATTTCATACATTTTTCGCGCTATATAACTTATTTTAAAAATGAGGAAAAGTAAAAAAAAACAACAAATGAAAGCAACTTGTGTTTCTGTAGTTTTACGAAGCTGTTCTACCTTCTTATTATATCATCATATAGGCTATGGATTTGACATTTGAAATCAAGTGAATATAGTAGTCAAAGTGCGCTCGAATAGAGCAATGAAAGGTATTTTGTGATATAAATTACATTTGTAATCGATCGAAATAACATTCTAGACCTAAAAAAAACATATATTCTTATGATCAGCTTAATATTCTTGGTTGATTTAGCAATGTCTGACCTTCCGTCCAACACTAAAACACAACACAGAAATTACACAGCTGTTTCCATTTTTGACTAAACAACATGTTAGATTGCAAAATTTGTCTGTTTCAGAACTGCAAGCATTTAAAAATTTTTACTACGATAACCTAGTTTTCCTTCATGACATCCAGAAAATTGTAAATCTAGTAGATACTTGCAGGTTCTGGAACAGAACAAGTGTTGTATATTCCCGCTGAACTCCATGGTAAAATTAAAAAGGTTAATCATTTAAGATTAGCAAATTAATCTCTGCATTTTCTGTAATTTAACTTGTCAAATTTCACTTCCCATCTCTGATTTTCTTTAAAGAAATGTAAAGATATTATTGTATGACTTTACCTTCTTAATTCTACCATGTGTATAACACTAGTTGAGGATTTTCGTCCTTAATTCTTTCTGTGGATTTTTGAATTGTAATTTCATTGTTGACATTGGAGAAATTTTAAATCTTGAAATCATTTAAAAATAAAAACAAATTATAAAACATATATACGCCTCCAATGTTCTTTATATTAATGTAAGAAAAACGAATGATGAAAAATAAAATTTTCAAAAACGAATTGCCCCGAATAAAAACTGGAGCCATGTTCAAATTAAGAACTAAAATAAATAATGGTTTGAATTAGACATTGCTTCCCAACTTTATTTCTAATGTATTAATTCTAGTGCAGTATTTCTTTGTGTTTTGCCATTCAGCTATTGTACGCTCTTTTCTTCGATAGGCTCACGCAGTCGACATTATTTTAGCCGGCTGCGATATTCACTGCCAACTCGTTGCTTTATTTACTCGTTGTTTTTTGACACTAGCATAGAACTGTCATTTGTGGTCTCTTGTGAGTTGTGTGAGTGCAAAAACTTCTTCGGTAATATATTTTCTGTGCTTTTGGTTTTTTCTTTATAATTTAGAAGTTTTGTAAAATTTGCAAGGCACATACTTGAAATTGCCTTTCGTAAACTTTTTTCAAATTGATAGAAATAGTGTGCCTAGCAAAAACAACAACGCCAGTGAAAAATGATGTCGGCAAAACGAATGAACATTTCTTTGCCATTGCAAAATTACATAATTCTCAAACATTGAACAGAAATCTGCAAATGAAGAAATATGCTTGCAACTTTGACACAGCCATAGTATTATAGATTCTTTGGCGATATGGAAAGATGGAAAAACACTCAAATAAAAATATATAATTGATTTTTCTTTTAGTTTTTATTACATAACCTCACATTACTTTTGTCTAAAATCGTCCTTTTCTTGCAGCTTTTTGAAATTGTAAACAATGGCAGCACGTCGCGTTGCTCAATCCTCCATTAACTGGGCCTCTTTGGCTGAACGTGTACCTCCCAACCAAAAAGCCAACTTCGCTGCCTTCAAAACCAAGTCGGATGCTTACATGCGCGCTGTTTTGGCCAACCCTGAAAACCCACCAAAAATTGACTGGGCTCACTACAAAAAGTTGGTTCCCATTCCCGGATTGGTAGACACTTTCCAAAAGCAATACGATGCCTTGAAGGTCCCCTACCCTTCGGACAGCGTTACCGCCCAAATTGATGCCCAGGCTAAGGAAGCCAAAGCTGAAGTTGATAGCTTCAAGAAGAGCTCCGAACAACGCATCGCTCAGCTCCAAAAGGAAATTGATCATTTGAAATCCTTGTTGCCATTCGAGCAAATGACCATGGAAGATTACCGCGATGCATTCCCCGATTTGGCTTTGGACCCAGCCAATCGTCCATCATTCTGGCCCCACACTCCTGAAGATCAAGCCGGTTATGTGTCGAAGGAAATGGAAGCTGCCAGAGCTGCCCATGAACACTAAATACAGCGTCGCCCAGTTTCGACAAAGTATGAAAACGTTTCTGGTAATAGATTTTAAGTTGTATTGTTGCTTTGAATGTTTGGAGAGACAATGATACTCAAAAATTTTCAAAAAATTCAATGAGTTGATATGCATTCCTCCAAACTAAAAGAAATAAAGAATTCGATAAATTAACATAAAATGTAAAAGTACGAAAAATAACATCAAAATAAATTAATAACAACTCGAAGAAAATCACAATTAATTGGTGTAATCTATATCAAATTAGAGCGTTAGATAGTTTCTGATAGAAACATTTTTGAAGAGCCTATGTTCATAAGGAAGATGTTTTATATCCTCAGCCATATGGCTACAGAGGGTATATATCATCTGATAAGGCCGAAAGTGCCTCATCGAAATAACATTTTTAGACTCTAGGTCTCTTTGGACCAAATCCGTTTCAGGACATTTGGAGTCGATCTAGGGGTGTATAACTCTCGAAGGGAATATCCGATTTAGTACAAACTTGGTATATCGTGGTTTTATTGTCAAACTTAGATCGAGTTCGGAGATGGGCAACATCGGACCACTCCTTCTGGTGCCTCTTACACAAAACGTCAACACTTTTAAAGAAAATAAATCGATTTTGTGCAAACAATGCAAATATTAATATTTTTGTCAGTGCTACGTCAAGCGCGCTAGAATAAACAATATCGGCCCACTCCATCAAGTACATCCCCCACAGGATCAACACACTATTCCAAGGATCAACATTTGGAATAGTTATCTAAATTTATGAAAGACGGAAATTTTTGTACGTTTGATTGTTTTTTGTAATCTATGAACTGAAAAACAGGGGAACAGATTTTCCCGAAAATTTCCAAGTATACTACACATCGCTCGAAATTAACATAGGTTATTTACATTTTTGAAATTGTACTTGGAACTGAACATATAGCATCTGAATCGGAGGTATCTCCACAAATTTAGATTTTATATGCACATATCTATTGATCGATTGCTGCAGATACAGTCTCCAAATTTGGAATGTGTTATGGAATTTTGAACAAAAATAAATCTGCCAAATTATATTGACATCTGTTCAAATTTTCGGCCGATGTAGTGTATTTGATGCATCAAACACGGAGTGTGCGCCAAATTTCAATGAAGTTTGGAATTTGTCTAAAAAATATATTTGCCAAATTATATTGAAATCGGTTCAGATGTGGGTATAGCTCCCATATAAATTGTCGGCCAATTTCATGTATTTGATGCACCAAACACGCTTTGTATCTCCAATTTCAATTAATTTGGAAATGTTTAACGGAATTTGGAACAAAAATAAATTTGTCAAATTATATTTATTTCATTTATTTATTTATATGTTGCAATGAAAAAGCCATTAGGCCAATAAGTATCACAACTATCAGAAAACTACAAAAGTGTACTCCAAAATAAAAAAAAACATCTTAAAAATATTACATAGTGTATCTTAAAGTAACCTAAGAAATCATATGTAAAATATGGACAAAAAGGCTCCCCAGCCAATGAAAATAAATTTAAGTCTATTGCTGGTAATAAAAAAAAACAATATTGAATCAAACGATACAGTGTCGTCAATGTCATTAAAACAAACAAATTGTTAACCTCCATTTGCCTCTACAAAGTTTTCAAACATGCGGCGAAAAACACCGCGGGAAAACGAGAATTGTCGTAGCTCAGCTGGAAGCAGATTCCAGATTCGTGCGGAACGAACTATGAAAGATCTTTCATATAGAGACGTAGAAAAATGAGGGAAAATTATTTGCGTATTCCTAGTAGACCGAGAAAACACTAGCCGATCTCGCTGAAAACCGGGAAGATTTAAACAGATACATTTATATAGAAATGAAATCACGCGTTGTTTAACAAAAGTAGAGAATGACTCTCCTAGAAAGAGGACTGCATGCGCAGAAATATGGTCAAAACGACGCAAATTATAAACATATCTTATAATGATGTTAAAAAGTTTTTCTAATTTCATTAAATATTCATGTGTTGTACCAGAAATCACTTCAATACAGTAGGAAATTACCGAAAATAACATAGAATGAGCAAGATTTCTCTTTACAAATAAGGGCAAATAGAAATCAGTTGAGTGTAATTTTCGGAGCATATTTATAACTTTGCAAAGAAAAATCAAGCTTGGCATCAAGGACAACACCTAAACAATTTATGCGGTCAACAAAATCCACCGCTACACCATTAACCTGTATATTAATACCGCTATTCAGTCGGCAAGGTGAACCAAATGTCATTGCTTTTGTCTTAGAAACATTTACTACTAGATTATTATTTCTCAACCAACGTGAAATATTACCTAATGTTGTATTTATGCTATTCTCTAGTTGAAAGTCTGATTGACCTTTAAAAAATAAATGAATGTCGTCCGCATACATAAACGGATGACAGTCGCAATTAGTTAGAATGCTACTAATGTCATTGACATATAAAACAAAAAGAAGCGGACCTAAAATTGAACCTTGAGGTACCCCGCTGTAAATATTACGTAAGCTGGATGCCTCGCCATTATATGAAACATATTGAGAACGTCCAGATAAATATGAAGCAATTAATTTACAAGAATTACTGTCAAATGCATATAATGAGAACAGTTTCTCAATCAGCATTGAATGATCCACACAATCGAATGCTTTCGAAATATCCAGCGCAACAAGAACACCACTATCACGTCCATCAATTGTCTCTCTAATCAAGTCAGTTAAGTCTACTAAAAGTGAAGTAGTGCTGAGACCACGCCTAAATCCATATGGATAATTAATCAAAAATTTATTGTCATCTATAAATGATTGAATCTGCAGCCTTATGAGATGTTCGGCAACTTTAGAAAGCGACGGTAGTATACTTATAGGTCTCAAATTCTCAATAGTGTTCCTTCCTTTACTTTTGGAAATAGGGAAAACCCTAGCAATTTTCCAGTCATTCGGGAAGGTCGATGTTGTAAACATTGTATTAAAAATATAGGTGAAATGTCTAGAAATATATGGATAGATTAATTTCAAAAATTTAATGGGTACTCCATCAACACCTACAGACTTCGATTTGACCTGCTGAAAGGCTTCAAATACATCTATCTCGAAAACACAATTAAAAGAAAATGTATGACATTGTCTATCAATATCTGGAAAATCAACAATAACATTACCAACACCATTTTCTTGAGTAAAATATTCATTCAAAACATTAACATCAAAGTCAGTTGAGAGGTTGACGTCCTTGTCAACGATACCACCGGCATGAAGTTGTCTCCAGAGATGAGTAGCATTTAGTCCATTGAAAATTTTTTCATAATATTTTTTACGTTCCTTTCTAAGAATAGACTTAGCTTTGTTTCTGAGAGTACGATACACCGCCATATTTTGCTGTGTAGGAAATTTTAAATAATTTTTGTACGCCATATCACGCAAAGAGATCGCCAGTATTATAGATTTACATTTCAGCCACGGATCCAAGGAATGTACAACACGTTTTCTAACGAACATATGAAAAAAGATTAGCAATAAGCAACTGGAGAAACGAAAGCTGTAAATTAATATCAGATGTACTATATAAACTACTAAAGTCACCGAATACGTTATATTTCTCCATTTTTTATGAAATCTGGAAATAAATTTATAAAATTATATTGAAATCGGTACAGATTTGGATATAGTTTTTATATAATTGTTTTTCGTGATTTCGTGTATTTGATGCACCAAACACGCCATGTGTGTCAAATTTCAATGAAGTTTGGAATGTGTGACGGAATCTGGCTAACTACGCTATCAGGAACGAGTAAAAAAGCAGTAAGTTCGGCCGGGCCGAACTTTCAATCCCTTCCACCATTTGGAACGAATTAGAAACTGTTAAAAATTCTGTTAAAATCTTTAAAATACCTAATATCGGAAGATGCCGATATATAGGGGGAATATACGATATTGTGGACCTATATAGAAAAATCTATGTCTTGGGGTAAAGTGCTCACAAAGAACCCCTTGTGTAGAATTTCTGACAATTCCGTTGAAAAATGTGTCGGAAATCATCAAAATACCGAATATCGGGGTGGGGGGTGTACCGTTATATGGGGGCTATATGATATCGTGGACCTGTATAGATAATTATCTTTTAAGTTATAAAGTACTCACAAGGAACTCCTTGTATGGATTTTCAGACAATTCCGTTGAAAAATGTGGCTAAAATCATCAAAATTCGGAATATCTGGGGGTACCGTTATATTAGGGATATACGATATTGTGGACCTATATGGACAATTCTCTTTCAGAGGGTAAATTACTCACTAAGAACTCCTTGTGTAGAATTCCGTTAAAAATGTGGCTAAAGTCATCAAAATACCGAATATCGGGGGGTACCGTTAATTTGGGGCTATACGATATCGCGGACCTATATAGCTCATCTTCGAACTTGAGAGAGATCTGTGCAAAATTTTAGCTTCCTACCTTAATTCGTTTTGACTGTAGCGTGGTTACAACAGACCGACAGGGCTAAATCGTCTCAGAATTTTACGCTGATCAAAAATATATATACTAAAATGATTTTTTCGATGAGTTACAAACGGAATGACAAACTTAATATACCCTCCATACTATATATACGATTATTACGGGGAAGTATGTAAGTTGATATGTATTGCTACCTTGTATACCTCCAATAGCTACAACAATGCCTTTTAAATTGAAAGATTGCAGTTTCCTGCACGATTGCAATTAATAAGTCCCAAAGTCAAAATCTTCGTGCATGCGCATACGCTCCTGAAGCACAAATTTCTTCTTGCAAACACTTGCAACTCTTTATGCAAAATTTTTACAGGGATTCTGTCTGTTTACTTTTCACAATTTTCTTGCAAAAGAGAATAAAACTACCTCACACTGTCTCAGAAAGGAGTTGCTGGACAATTTCTGCAGGAAAAGTAACCAAAAACATTAATTTTTCAATAATTGAAAAGAAAACATACATGCACATATTAATTTGGCATGTTAAGCCAGCAAATGAAAATGAAAATATAATCAATTGTTAGCAGTGCCAAAAACATATTAATTTTTCAATAATTGAAAAGAAAACATACATGCACAAATTAATTTGGCATGTTAAGCCAGCAAATGAAAATGAAAATAAAATCAATTGTTAGCAGTGGTCTACTTTGATTATATTGCACCATGGATCTAAACAGCTTTAAAATGCTTTTTGCGACAGAATAGAGTTGTATTGGAAAATATCTTGATATCGCACAGGATTTAGAGGAAATCGCGGCAATGTGAGGTTTAGTTTTATTTGTAAATCATGATAAAATCAAATGGTTTAGCACTTTAATCGGGATATGGTCTTTACAAATGGTCTTTATAGTCTAAACGCATGGTACAATGATATCAAGGTAGGGCTATGAAACCATATCATTTTATTTTTTTTTTATTTTCTTGGCTTAATATATCATCTTTCTTGTTTATGTATGTGTTTTCTTTTCAAAATGTTTATTTCAACGTATGCATCGACAAAATCTAGAGTTTTTGTAGCGAAATAATCCTTTAGAGATATATAGTACATGATTTTGAAGAGAAGTCTTGACCCTTCATTCAGTTATGGCGGATTTCAATTATTTATTTCAAATAAATGCAACAAGTTGTTTGATTTTTTATTGTTTTGATACTAATTTTGACATTACAAGCCAAACAGGTAGGCCTCTATACTTGCAATTTTTTTAAAGTTGGCCTACCTTCTCTTCATTGTACCAGGGTCTAAACGTAATTTCATGACAGCAATTAGGAGAAGATCTACCTTGCACGTTCGTAAACCACAAACATTTTCTTTTACTTTTCTTTTGGTATTTGCTTTCAAAATATAGCTGTTTTGACATGTCGCCATGTCACGCATATAAAACACATCGAAATTGAAACCCCTGTAATCTACTTTCGATCTTTAGAACCATATTGACCCACGGCGGTTTTGTTATTGCTCGACCTTTCTTGCCAATTTTCCTTTCTTCTTTCCTCCGATTAGCCGAAAGTCGATTTACGTGTCCCTATTAGCATCCAGCAATGGGAAGAAAATATTTTTGTAATTAATTGTTTAAAAGGTCTAAAAAGACCGAAAAACAAACGAGAAAAATACTTGTTAATAATCATATACGAAACGAAAAGAAGAAATTCATACCTACACAAGGGAAATCTCAATAGCAACATACTATTATCGTCAACTAAAAGGTAGACTTTGTTGTTGTTTCGCCAGACAAAGTGAGACATTAGGCTGCTTCTTCGTTGTGGGACACATACGAGAGCGTACGATTCCGTACGACTTGGAAGCATTCATGAGGGATTTGCATGAGGATATTTTGACGTGATTGTGTCTTTGGTTTTTTTGGGAGTTCCCTAATATTTAGTGTTTTGATTTGCATCTGTTGCATGAACTACCTAACCGTTTTGCTGTGTAATCGAAAGCCACCGACAATGCTCTCGCGGAAGAAAGACAAAACTGCAGCGGCACACAAAGAGGGCGTTGTGGGGAAATATGTTAAGAAAGAGACTCCTCCCGAAATACCGGTGATTAATGTGTGGTCTTTCGATGACCAGAGAACCAAGCAGAAGTCGAAAACTCTGCAAAGGTGTGCTTCCGCTTCTCCCAGCTGTGATGGTGGCTCTGGAGGTACGCTGTCGGGACGTGGAAGGTCAGGCAGCGTGAGTCGCAATACCTATACGGACACACAACCGGATTACTATCATGCACGAAGAGCCAAGTCCCAGTTGCCGCCTTCGACGAGTTCGATGCGCTCGAATCTGCCTCCACCTCAGACAATACAACCTACACGGCGTATGCAACCACAACTGCAGCAGCAGCAGCATCAACAATCACAACACCGTCAATTTCAACAGCAATACCAACCTGCTGTGTCCTCTCACTCGTATTATTCAACCAACAATTTAGATATGGCTGGGAACCATAACCATTTGGCAAGTAGCAGTAGCAATTATGTAAATATTGATCAAATAGATCGAATGCGACGTCAACAGTCGTCACCATTGCAACATTCGCAATCCAGTTACTATTCGTCCAATCAGAAACATGCCAATTCATTCGATGGGCATACAAATGTGATGAGAGATCGCTTGGATTCGTTTCATTTGCAATTACCTCGTGGTGTTACACCTAGACCCCAGACACCACCACATCAGCACTATCAGCAGCAGCAACAACAACAATCTCAACATCCGCCCTTGGCCCAGAGTTATTCTTCCGAGTCTTATCCAATCTATGAAAATCCTTATAGAGTTTCCAATACCTTAACTCCGCCCGTACATGGTATGTCTCAAATGTCTTTATCCACGCAACACGACAATCGTTCCGAGTCACCAATCTACAGTAATACCACGTCAATCGCCAGTAACATTAATCACTCGCATCATAGTAACCATCAAATGTCCCATCAGTTTCAAACATCAAAACACCTATCTCCCACATCGACTAGTTCTATTAGCAACAATAACCAAATGATGTCTTCGTATGATCTCAGTTCACGTGCCACACCTCATAGCCATGCTCAGGGTAACTCCTCCTCATCGATGCAGTCCCTATATCAGAACACAGGCAACAATAATCACAATCCCTCTAGTGCAACTTCCTCACAACAGCAGCAGGCCCAACAGCAGCTACGTAAACATCCCTCACAACAGTCAGTAGAAGAAGAACTACCCCTGCCTCCGGGCTGGGCTACACATTACACTTTACATGGTCGCAAATACTATGTTGATCATAATGCCCATACAACGCATTGGTCTCATCCGCTAGAACGCGAAGGTCTGCCCGTCGGTTGGCGTACTGTCGTTTCCAATGTTCATGGTACTTACTACGAAAACCAATACACTGGTCAATGCCAACGTCAACATCCTTGCCTTACTTCGTATTACGTGTATACAACATCAGCCGAACCACCAAAAGCCATACGTCCCGAAACGTATACCCCACCGGCGCATACTCATAATGCCTTGGTTCCCGCTAACCCGTATCTCCTGGAAGAGATTCCGAAATGGTTGGTGGTCTACTCGGAGGCAGATTCGTCAAAGGATCATATGTTGCAATTCAATATGTTCAGTCTACAGGAATTGGAATGTTTCGATGGTATGCTAGTTCGTTTGTTCAAACAAGAATTGGGTACAATTGTTGGATTTTACGAGCGCTATAGGTATGTGATATTTTGAAAATATGATATTTTTTATTCGCAGGCAGAAATCCAAATTTTAAAAATTCAAAAATGGTTGTGACGGGGCAATTTTCGCCATTGCTAAATTATTCAACAACTAAGTCACCGTCCACACTGTCGAGATCGATTGCCAGCTTTTTCGAGAAAAAAATATTACAATTTGCCTCGGTTATAAAATTAGTGTATTTTGATATCCATCTCTCCTTAAACTGACCGTCCAATTTCAATAAATAACTCCTCTTTATTCGACACCAGTTGACTTAACTTCTCAGAGTTCGTTAAACCTGTGCAGCAACGGAAAGCACGGAACGGCGAATCACTTTGTCCGATCTGAATTTTTAGGCAGTACTGTAAATAGTGTAGCATTAGAGATAGTTCGTTATGCCACATAGTAACTCAACAGAGTATCCAGCCGGAGACTGAATCAGAATAAATTTTCTATAGAACAATTCGGAATCGCTTTTAGGAAACTCCAATTATGACGTAATGTTTAAAGAAATATATCGCATGAAGTGTCAATTCAATTGACACTTTCTGTTATAAAATCCATGTATCATAATAGTTTTTTTAAATACAAATATTTTTAGAAGATCCGGTTACTTTTTTACTGAAGTTTATATTAACGTCGTATCTTTCTTTCTAGACGAGCTCTTATTTTGGAAAAGAATCGGCGTGCCGAACAAGAACGGTATATTCAGGAACTCCATGCAGCTGCTGTAAAAGCTGCTAATGCCAATCCCAATTCGAATAGCAGCAATAATGCCATCGCAAATCATCTTAGCCAACAACAACTTTGAAAGTCGACAATTATGCAATTCTCCTTCATCCCCTCATGGAATTTCACCGTTAGTTCCGTGTATTTGTATTTAATGCTTACACGTTACTCGTTGTAATGGGGTTTCCATTCAGAACAAATATTGGAATTCTAATATCGCCTCCTATGCATCAACACATCCTCGCTCATTTACAGACTTTTTTTTAATTATTTTTTACTTTATTTTATATAATTCTATTTTATTTATTTTTAAATTTTAGTTTTTATTGCCACAGTTCACTTTCTCTTTATTAACCAATGTGTTTGAGGAAAAAAGCCTTATATAAGCCTGGTGCCTTATAAAATATATATGCAAACATGTATTTATTTTTCAAAAATTCGTATACAGTTTCAATTTTAGTTTGTTGTTTTAAATTAAATTATTAAAAATTTGGATGATGGTGTGTTGCTATCGATAAAAACAATTATCGATAGCAACACACCTAATTTTTTATTAACTAAAAAATAGTTATTTATAATTGTGTATTATCATATTGTTTTATTTTTTTTATAAAAATACGCCAACAATTGTGGTTATCATATCATTTGTATCCAAATAAATGTTCTTTTCCTTAAAACATATTTTGGGTGATGCAATTCACCTCTTTTTTGAAAACATGTTTTGTTTTTATATTGTTTTTTCTTTCTGTTTTGGTTTCAGTTGGTTTCGTTTGGAATATTATTGCATAACGATGTTGATAACGTTTAGATAAAGTGCTAACAAAATATATGACATTGTGGAGTTCTAATTGGTAATGCAATCAGAAAACATTTTTAATAGGTTCTTATGAAAAATCAATGAAAAAAAAAAAAAAACATATTGTAACTAAAAGACTGATAACTTTAGAAATATTATTTATAGTAGATAGAGAATTATACATTCATTAACGAAACAAATAAAATATATTTGTTTTAAAGGGTACTTGCTTAAATTTATTTCGTGTTTGTACTACTTTTTTTAGAGGAAAGACCTTTACTTAAATATTTGCAGGTCATTTGTGTTATTTATCTTCTCATTTAAGGATGAAATTGTTATTGATGTCTAAAATATAAGTATTACTCGGCGTATTTTACGTCTCGCTTTTTTAACAGTTAAATAAACCTGTGGGCACCAACTAAATATCGAATCTCCGTGAGTTTACTCACTATCACCTGTATTCTCATTATAAATGAATTTTTTTCTGAGTTTTCTGGCTTGTTCTAAATCATACAAATAAGGTATGTGAGTGAAATATTGGTTTCATATTGTTCGAATATTGAAAATATCAGATCTTCGATTTGAAATTAATACATTACTTATATCCCTTACAATCGAAAATTAGATAACGAAACTCGATATTTGGATTGACAGAAGTTCACATCTACAAAAGATGTTACTTCAAATTAAAATGATGTAAGATATCACAACGTCGGCCACGCCCGAATATAGTCTTTGCTGACTTGTTGTTTTTATATCCTTCACCATAGTATGGAGTATATTAAGTTTGTCATTCCGATTGTAACACCTCGAAATATACATTTTAGACCTCACAAAGTATATATATTTTCTTGATCAGCATGAAATTCTATGTCGATTTAGCGATGTCCGTCCGTCTGTGGAAATCACTCTAGCTTCCGAACGAAATTAAGTAGATTGATGAAATTTTACTCAAATGTATATTATGTCTGCAGGACTTTTGGTATTGAAAATAGGCCATGAAGGTCCACGTTTTGGTATAGCCCCAATATAACGGTACCTCCCGATATTCGGTATTTTAATGTTTTTATCAACATTATTCACCAGAATTGTTTCAAATTTGGTATTTGAGGTTCGTAATGGGTACTACAGAATATGACAAAAAATCTTTGTATGCAGGTTTTCATTTAAGTAGTAGTTTTCGAAAAATTTTTGAAAATTTTCAAGTTCCTTCCAAATGGTGGAGGATAATAAAAGTTCGGCCCGGCCGAACTTAGCTGCTTCTTTCTTGTTTTCTTTAATTCTAAACGAACTCACTCTGTAAGCTATAAATTATCCAAAAAATACAATTTTTTTTATTTATTTCTTATCGATTTTAATCTATCGTAAAGCTTTTACTCTTTATTGATGATTAGAATAATAATATAGATCTTTGTTATGATTTCATCTTAAACTTTAAAGAATCAATATTAAAACTTAAAAGAATCAATAAATACTACTATAAGGACGAGTTTGAGAAAATGGACATATGCAACCTTGTCAGGACTTCTTTCGGTGAAGTTTTCTAATCGGTCTTTATATAACAGTTTTTGTGGACCTTTGCTACACTTACTTGTCTTCACCGTGACTTTGAGTTTTTCAATTCAACTACGAATGAAAATTTTTTTGCAATATTATAGAAGATAAATATACATTATTTTGTCAACCAAGCATAATTTATCGTACTTGACATTAATATAGTGGGTGGCAATTCTTGACATCATTAAAATGAATAGTAACATTCAAAATATAATTCAATCAGCTAGAATTTTACAGAGGAAATTTAATTAATATCTGACATTGTAAATTGGTCAAATTTTCTTGGAGTTGAAGTTAATGTGTCAAAGAAATGAAGACGTCTTGAAAGAGTAAACCAAGCCCCAGGAAAAAGTTGGAATTGGGAAAAATATCATTTAAGTTTTCCATACCTAAATTGAAAGGTAAATAAGTGTTTCTAGGCGTATAGATTAAATGAATCTTAATTTCATCTGTGTTTTTGTTAGCAACTTTTGTCAGTACGGATTAAAATTCAATATTGAAATGTCGGTAAGTCCATATAACATTCCCCCCTTCTTTGTTTCTTGGTACGCCCGTGTTCGCTGACTCTCGCCTTTCCCATTTTTGAAGAATGCAGCTTTCGAGTAGTAGTATGTCATTTCCGCACAGAGGAAGATTTTGGAGACCAAAGACGTCTCGTTTTTATCTGTCGAAGAACCTATTTCTTCCTCAGCATCTTAAAACTCGGGTATGTTATATGTCTTATGTTACATGCTGCCTATCAGCTTCCTTAGAATTTCGCCGTTTGACAATAGAGCGAAGTCGATTCATAACACTATATTTTCCTGTTTATAATTTTTATTGCAGCTCCGTGTCGGAGATCTTCAATATATTTTAATCTTGCCACAGTCGATATCGATAATCGCATAGTATAGATCAACCCCAAAAATAAAATGAAAACGAAATGTCAGGCTTTGCAACAGATTCCACGATCTGCCTCACTTTTTATTTGGCGCTCTTTGTCTTTGTTTATCAAAGACACCTTTGTATGCTTGCTTGTACCATTTACAGAGGTAAATCTCGTTGGTTTCCTACTTAGTAGAGATTTCAAGAACCGATTGGGGAAATACCTAAATCCCAAAAGAAGAAAGACAAACAACTCAGGAAAATCGTTGATTAAATTTCTTTATATTCCTGATCAAAATCCGACTTAGTATTTCAAAAAATTTAGCCTATATTCGGATTATCCTTATCCAGCTCGAGGTCGAATGTTTTGTATTTAAACCAATTTGAAACTTTTTATCATGTTAGGTGTTAGGTGTGTCACAGCAAATATTCTTAGCTTTTAATTGCACTAGTTGTTGTATAGATTATTTTTTATAAACGGTGAAAATTTCAAATCCAATTCAATGGTATAAAAATAAAAAAAATGTTTATCTGAAAAATACACGATTGCTTTCTGACTACCTTCCAAAGTGTTTTGTGTTGACAAATTAGATATTTAGTAAGTGGTGTCAAGTTGATCGATTCTAAATGAAATCGGACTCAATAATTACTTTTTAAAATGGACAACTCTGGATCTAATCATTATACCATATAGAAAAGTGTGTTCGCCAGATTTTAAAGAATGATGAGTGTATACGACAGTTCCAAGAAATTAAGTTTTTTAACATTAGCACTATTATATCGGGCGCCAAGAACACATAGTGATATTGAATTTGTGTCAAGAAATAAAGCTTTCCTTGTAAAAAGATAACACGGGTGCTTGATATCAACTCTGTGAAAAATGCACTCTGCAGTAGTTTTGAAATTCATTGGTTTAGCGTATGGATAAGAAATGGTTATTTTAGGTGATCGATTTTAATTGGATAAAGCCAGATGTGAGTGAATTCTATGAAATACGTTATCTCTTTAGAGACTTTAATGTTTTGTTTGTGGAAGTGTCCAATCTTCACAATGAGCTTCTAGGACGAAACCAATGATTTTTCTCTTATTAAGCTTTTAAGACATGTTTTTAAACTCTATAACCGCCAGTGTGAAGACTTATTTGGTACGTCTGGTTTCTTCTCGAGAATAATAAAAAGGAAGTTTTTGTTTACTAAAAATGAAAAAAAAAACAAGTAAAAATACATTAATTTCAGCCGGGCCGAACTTCTAATATCCTCCACCATTCGGTAAATAAAACATTTATTTTTGCAAAAGCATCTGGATTCAAACGTGTTCCACTTTATACTATAAACTATATAAACAGTAAGATTGGTAGGAGAAAACTGTTAGAATTTTCAAAAAACTAGAATTATCAAACCACCGAATATCGGTCTATATATCTATATTTTAACACTGCACTATGGGGCCGATGGCATCTAAAAATTAATAGAATTATGCGCAGAACACTTTCAAAACATCGAAAACAAAAAATTACAATCTGGCAACAACTTACGGCCTGCCAAGTTGTCAAAGATGCCATATTTACTTTTCGCTATTTCCTGAAATTTAAACTTAATCTAGCCTTATATTAGGTGTGTCTGGTTACTTTTCCAGCAGGATTGTCCAGCAACTTCTTTCTGAGAGAGTAAGGTAGTTTTATTCTCTTTTGCAAGGAAAATTCAAAAAGTAAACAGACGCTATTCCTGCAGAAGCTTGCAACTAATCAGCTGATTTGTCAAAACAAACTAATTTGTCCCCCATAAGGAGAATTAAAGCAAAGGAAGCAATACTAATTTTACAAGTTTTTTAAATAAAAATGTTGGAAATAGTCTTTTATTTTCTTATTACATATTAACATTTACGTTTTTCACATTTTGTAAAGTTGTTCTCTAAAAAGAATTAGTCTTGCTAATTCCAAAACAATATTTTCAAATTAAAATCACAAAAAGAAGTAAATAAACAATAGAAAACATCTGATTGAATGTCGATGAATGAGAAGAAGAAGAGTTGCAAGAGATTGCAAGAAGAAATTTGTCCAGTAAGAATTTGCAAACTCTCACTGAAAGAACTGTCAAAATTTCTCTCTCCAACCGCTCTCTTTTGCACAAACTTTAGGGTAACCAGACACACCTATTATTATTGGCGCCAAACAAAAACTGTTCGCATTATATTAAAAACAAAAAGTGGAAACACGTGGAAAAGAATGTAAATCAATAAAATTATAAGAAATAAAAAGTATTGTTAAAAGTAAAATTTGCAATAATTTTCACTTTTTCAAAAAAAAAAAAAAAATATTTTCAAATAGCTTAACGCTCTAAAATTCATGAATTTTTTAAAATTTGGCTGGAAATTCAGCGATAACCCACATATGTAATATATTAGATTTCAGCAATATATGAATTAAATATTATCGACAAATATTTTACGACCATGAGAAAGGTAACTAATAACATTTATGCACAGGCTAACCTAAAGCGGCTAAGAAACAAAAGTAAAGGTAACGAAGGTAAAGGAATTTTTGACTCGTGGCAGAGTCTTCCTGTTGGTAGCTTCATCTGATCCGTCCATATCAAATACATATTTTAACGAGTATGAAAAATATGACACCCTACATCACTATGCATACTCTACTAAGTACATTCTGGTAAAAACTAATTATGAAGTACAAATATCAAATTTAACACAAATGATTTAGAAAATGTGGCTTAAATTGTCAAAATATGGAAAATCCGAAATAACTGTTAAATGTGCGCTATAGGAAAACTTGATTTCAACCTTAAATCAATCGTTAAATCGACACAGAGTTTTATGCTGATCATGAATATATATACTATATGGGGTCCATGACAAATATTGAGAGGTGTTATAAACGGAATGGCAAATTTAGGAATATGTTGTTGTTGTGTAGTCTTCAAATGACGGTTAATTTTAAGTCAGACTTTAAGGATTAAAAAAATGCATTCTCACATTTACGCTAACAAACCGAATCTGATGAAAATCAAGCATTTGTATACCCTCCAACATACTATGGAGGGTATATTAATTTTGTCATTCCGTTTGTAACTCCTCGAAATACTCATGTCAGACCCAACAAATTATATATATTCTTGATCAGCGCAAAACTCTAAGACGATTTAGCCATGTCCGTCTGTCTGTCTGTGTGTCTGTCTGTCTGTTGTAATCACGCTATCTTTCGAACAAATGGAGATAGAAGGCTAAAATTTTGCACACATGTATATTTTGCCAATAGGCAGGTTAAGTTCGTAAATGGGCCATGTAGGTCCAAGTTATCATATAGCCCCTATATAACGGTACCTCCCGATATTCGGTATTTTGATGATTTTAGCGACATTATTTAACGGAATCGTTTCAAATTTGGTATTTGAAGTTCGTAATAGTTCCGCATAAAAAAGAAAATGGGCCATGTAGGTCCACGTCTTCGTATAGCCCCCATATACTATACCCCCCGATATTCGGTATTTTGATGATTTTAGCGACATTATTTACCGGAATTGTTTCAAATTTCGCATGTGAAGTTCGTAATAGATACATGCCATGCCAGAAAATTCGTATAGCCTTCATATAACGGTACCCCCTATATTCGGTGTTTTGATGATTTTAGCAACATTATAAACTGATTTTTCTTCAAGAGTCGCATTTAAATATTGTAATAACTTATGACAAAAGTTGCCTATGCAGGTCCACCTCGTCGTATAGGCATTCGGTATTTTTAAGATTTTAACAGAATTTTTAACAGATTTTATTTTTGGAAATTGTCAAATTTGTACCAAATGGTGGAGGGTATTAAAAAACTTACAGCTTTTTTACTTGTTTCATCTTTCATCTCCCCGTTTAAACTCTATTATAACTTATTTTGTAACCCTCTAATAGTACCTCATTTAAAAGTTTGTTTTCTGTTTAATATCTTTATTTAAATTTTTGTATGTATGTTCGTGTGTCGTATGGAAGCTTAATAATCGTAAAGATTAAAACCATAAAAGTTTCTCTTCTCTCTGTAGCACAGAGAGCAGTAAATCAATATTTAGCAAAGAGACCGGCAGAATTGTAAACATTACTCAGAAGAGGCAAGAAAGAGATGTCAAAACTCTCAAATGAGCGAAATAGTGTAATAGTTAAATTACATCAAATTGCAAATTAAATTATAATTAATTAGGTATTTAAAAGTAGCAATTTCGTATTTTTTAAAACATACATCGATTTGTATATTTTTGTGGCATTGCGCTAGTTTAAATTGAATTTTACAATCTATGGTTAAATGTGATTGGAAGTAAAAAAACGTGCTTCTGACATTTTTCAATAAAATACAGAGTTCACAGGTAAATTCCCTTTAATGCTGTAAGGTAAACCCATGCAAGCATACCCCGTGATTAACAAGAAATAACTCGAGCATGAGTGTATACTTAACAAAATTGATCAACGAAATTTTGTGGTTTTTATCCCAGCAGTTATTAGGGTGTATTAGAATTTATTATAAGGCTAAAAAATCCAAAAACACTATTGTAACAATATAGCAAAAAAAGCTAATAATTGATTTTGAAATATTGATTTTATTTCAATAAAAAAATTATTTACATCTTATTGATATTTGTTTCAGTTTAGACGTTGCTACGTCCACCATTCACTGTTGACAATCGTATGGGAATTTTGAGAGCAACAATACTTGAGACTCAAACATCTTTACATATGCAAAGTAGATGACATACTTGAAAAACTTGTTATAATTCTAAAAAATTGAAATATTTTCTTGAAATTGTTGTTTCTTTAATTTCTGTGAATATATTGAATATAATGATTTTTATAATTGAAATAAGATATATAATTTAAGGGAAAATTATAAGGATACTTGCCCAAATGTTAGCCTATATGAGCGAAAATACTAAAAATTACTCTTCGAAAAACCAGCGGTCAGGACGACACTTAGGAAATGAATTGTTGGACATAAATGGAGCTTAAAATAACAGATCTATACACTCATTCAAATTGTATTAAAAATGTGGCAAAGTAAGGCTAACTTCTGCCTTCTTTTGTTTTTAGTAAAAATGTGTATTTCCTTACAAAAATATACGCGTACAATGTTTAAGCCTAAAATAAGTATGATTTCAATATAATTTGGCAAATTTATTTTTGTAACAAATTCCGTCACTCATTCCGAATTTCACTGAAATCGGGCATACATATCGTGTTTGATGCATCAAATAAACGAAATGGTTTGTTATATATGGGAGCTATATCCGAATCTGAAGCGATTTTACTATAATTTGGTAAATTTATTTTCTGACCAAATCCCGTCACTCATTCCAAATGTCATTGGAATCGAACATACATATCGTGTCTGGTGCATCAACTAAACGAAATCGGTCGAATATATATGAGAGCTATATCCAAATATTTCAATATATTTTGGCGAATTTATTTTCGTACCAAATTTCTTCGCTTATTCCGAATTTCATTGAAATTGGTCATACATATCGTGATTGGCCCATTAAATATTTGAAATCAGTCGAAAATGTATATGGGAGCAATATCCAAATCAGAAACGATTTCAATATAAATTCGCAAATTAATGTTTATTTCAAATTCACTCATTCCAAATTACATTGGAATCGGACAAACATACAGTGTTTAGTGCATAAAAATGTGAGGTTGGCCGAAAATATATATGGAAGCTATATTCAAATCTGAACCGATTTCAATATAATTTGGAACATTTTTTTGTCTTAGAAATTCCAAATTTGGAGATTGTATCTATAACCGATCCGATTCGGATGCTATATATAGTGGAATTTCCAATACTGTAGTATGTATTGAAATTTTCAGGAAAATCTGTTTAGCAATTTTTGAGTCTATAAATTATAAACAAACAATCAAACGTACAAACATTTCCCTCTTTTAAAGATATATAAGAGAAGAAGAAGATACATTAAGGCAGAACTCTAGAAAAATAGCCTAAAGGCATTAAATCGCACTATTTAGGCGGCCAATTAACCTATCAGGAACGTGTAATAAAATTTTCACCATTTTGTTATGCGTATTGTATGGCATGTGACATCGCCTTGTTGAAACCACAAGCTCTTGCATTTTGGGCAAAAAAGTGGGATATCATATTATGGTAGCGCTCACCATTCACAGCTACGATAGGATTCGCAGAACCTTTGATGAAATACGTAACAATTATACCACCAGCCCATTCACCATACCATACTGTGACTTTTGCTGGATGCATTGGTAGCTTTTGCAAAGCTTCTGGCATATCTTGACTCCCATTCAATCGAAGAAGCGAGCGATGAATTTTGTCGATAGAATTTAATGATTTGCGGACGTTGTTTAAAAATACGATTCAAGGTTAAATTATAGACCAAACTGAAGATGTTTGACAGTGAAACAAAAGATAGGGCTATATGCTGCACCTTGAAAGACAGGGTATATTAAATTTGTCAATCCGTTTGTCACACCTCTAAATATTCATCATAGACCCCATAAAGTATATATGTTCATGATCAGCATAAGCCGATTTAACGATGTCCGTCTGTCTGTCTGTTGAAATCACGATACTTTAAATTTTGACACAGGTGTTTGCACTGTGTCTAGGATGGTTGATATTGAAAATGAGATATATCGGTCCATGTTATGGGATAGCCCCCAAATAACGGTGCCTCCCGATATTCGGTATTTTGATTGTTTTAGTCACATTGTTCACTAATTTGTCTAAAAATTAGTATTTGTGGTTCGTAATGGGTTCTAGCTTTAGTGGTGGAACATTGTACATATAGGTCCACGTTTTCGTATAACCGTACCTCCCGATATTCGGTATTTTGGTGATTTTTGTCACATTCTTCAACGGATTTGTCTAATAAAAGGTATTTGTAGTTCGTAATGGATATCAAGGTCCACGTTTTCCTATAGCGCACATATAACGGTTCCATCGAAAATTCGGAATTTTGATGATTTAAGACACATTTTTTATACATTTGTGTGAAATTCGGTACAGGAATCTCTTAAGAACCTGAAAACTCAAGTTAAGCTAAAGTCCCACGGTTACGAACATTAAAACTTACTTCAAATTTTACATCTACATCAACAACTTCTTAGCAAAAATAAAATAATTGCAAATCGGGATATCGACATATTTTTCGCATTAATTTACTTTGATAATAAGAAGATATTACTTTTTAATAAGAAAAATATACCCCTTTGCTATTAACTTTTGTAGGGAACAATACATATATTCAACCCTATGGTTTGCCATAAGTATATTGTTTATATTACCTTGTAATGGCTGATGATGGGCAGGTTTCGAATTAATAATATCCAGATGCATGAAAGCAATTAAAGAAGGTGTGGTAGGTTTTATGGTCAACAAGTAATGTTGAATCTAAAGTTTAGATTCCAAACAAAACAATTTATTTTGGTACATAAAAATAGCTGTAATAAAGCACAGCAATTTCATCTCCCTCCACCCCAATATTAACTCAATTGCCAATTTCATTCAATCGATAATCAAGAGAGAGTAAGTTAACTTGTCTGATGGTTTCTTTGAGTGTTGGAGGTTTGTTGGGTCTGTCGATGGTGTTCAAGTTTCAGTTGCTCAAAATACGTCAAATCGTGCGTTCATTACTTTGATTAACGCGGATCGAAACCATTCACTACCGAACATAACGGATGTAAACAATACTGTTTGTTTAAGAATATTATTTTTGTTTATGAAAACGAGCGAGAATAATTTCGCAAATAAAGTTTAAAAAAAGTACGAATATTTAGAATAGAGTATATCTTGCAATTTTGAATGCAGTAATAAAAATAATAAACATTATTTGAATAAATTTGTCAATTGTTATAAAAAAGGAACGATAATCCAAATACATGACCTTGGTATAAATATGTGTATGCAAGTGTTTATCAAAATTTCAAATAAAAAGAAACAAAAAAATGTCAAATAGATTTGAGTATCCACATAAACTTTTAAATGCAACGAACAGTGTTCTGGCGGGGACTAAAACGCATATTCCCTGGAATACGGTTTCTTCCACGCGTTTTGCAAATATCAGTTTTTAATAAAATATACAACTCCAGTGTTTAGGGATTCTTTCGCCAATTAAGGATTAAAACTTGTGAAAATTTGTTATTTTACTTTGAATCTTCTTATAAACAATATACTGTAATGACGTTGTCATTACAAGAACTAATAATTAATATCTATTCATTTTTTGGTACATCTCCCACAAACTTCCAATGTTTTGAAAAAATCTCCAATCCCATATGAGGTCAACGAAGCATCCGTCTTGATTCAAACTTCGGGCATTATTATATTTTAATCGAATTTAAGTTGGTTTCAAAATAGTAAATTTATTGACATTTATTCTACTACCTCTTCCATAGGATGGAGGTTAAAGATTTCGTTTCTTCAAAATTTTGCACAAAAGTATATGCAACAAGTTGTCTCCATACATTAGACCACACTGTGGTCAGTTGTGCCTTTGTGCATTTGTTTGTAACATAGAGAAGGAAGCGAGATAGACCCAACAGTTTCCTTTGATGATCTGAATAGAATCACATTTTGAGTCGATTTATGCATGTCCGTCTGTCCATGCATTTTTGAGAACACAGTACAGGTCGCATCTGTTGCACCAAATGTGTAATATAGGATGGAATTTGGCATATAGTACCAAATTGAGCCTAGAAATAGGAATGTGAAAATTGGTCTAATCGGTTCAGATATATCTATAGCTCCAATATATATCTACATCCAATTTCACGTTTATTGGGAATAAAACGGATTTTGATGAATATCGGTTTAGACAAAAGTGTCCACCGCAAAATTGGTAGAAATTGATTCAAATGAAGATAGTACTCACGTATACAGGGTGAAATGAAAAAAATACAACCAATTTCAGACTGCTGTTATTTCTAAGCCACTCCGTCCGTCAGTAGTTAAAATTATTCCAGTGACAGCTCATTATATTGTTTACAAGCATTTTGGTGAGAATTTTCAAGAAAAAAAGTTATTCGTGATGGAATTCAAGCGTTATAGTTTGATTTCTTTACATTTGGCTGGAAAACCACAAGTGGCTTTCGTTAGAGCACTTCAGCATTTAAACGTGAATAAGTCTTTTGTGTTTCGTGCCATCGCTCGTTACCGTGATACTGGTAGCGTAGCCCGACGTCAAGGAAGTGGACGGAAGAAAACAGAAACATCAGCAAAAATGGTTCGAAAAGTAAAGAGGCGTCTTGATGGAAACCCGCGTCGCAGTGGCCGAAAATGGCTCGTAAGCTGAACATATCGCAACCCATTCCGCAAATATTGAAAAATGAGTTCGGGGTAAAGCCATTGAAATTCCAAAAGTGTAAGAACTTACACCGCAACAGAAGAAAATAGACTCGCTTGGCCGAAAGTGGTGAACTGCCAAATTTGGTATTCTCCGATGAGAAAACATTCGTTGTCCAGAAGTTTGTAAATAAACAAAATGCTCGTGTTTACTTGCCCAAGAGGTCAGCTGAAAATGTGCACCTTCGGTTGGCCACCAGAACTAAAGCGCCGCCATAACAGCCGATGGTCGCTCTCCGCTCGTATTAATCGACCGTGGCATCAGAATAAATGTCGAATATTATCGCGAAATTATAGAGGGTGTATTAAAGCCTTGGGCACGCAAACATTTTAGCAGCAGACCAGCGCACAATGCCACCATAATCTCCGGATATCAATCCGTTGAACGATTGTGTGTGGAGTATTTTGAAAAGCAAGGTTGGCACTAAAAAATAGAAAAGTGTCGATCAGCTCAAGCAAGCAAACGGTACCTTCCGATATTCTATAATTTGAAGTGGCTAAACTTTTTCCACGGAATCGCTTCAAATTTGGGGGTTAAAATTTGTAATAGGCTCTACCTCCGGCAGCAGAATATTGTCTATATTTTTTCCTTTATCGTATTGCGCCCATAACTGCATTCTCCACTGCTATTTATTCCCGACCAATATATTTCCATTTTCACAATCAATCAATTGATGTTAAAAAATATGTACAAGGTGGCGCAAAGGTAATTCTCCTATCTGAAAATTCTATAAATTTTACGATTGGCCCCTAATATCTAAATTACAGGCAAAAACCAGTAAAAAAGTCTTAAAATCGGGCGGGGCTAACGTTTTGATACCCAACACAACTTTTTATATTTAGTAGAGCTTTAAATAAAAATAAAAGTTCTTATGGGAAATTTGTGAGAGTTAAATCATACCAACTATGATTATAGTTATAATTTAAAGTCCAGAGGACTAAATTTATGGGAGTTATATCCAAATCTGTACCGACCTCGATAAAAATGTATTTCTGAGCTGAATTTGATATGTTTCCCTGAATATCGTTGTTACGCAGTACATATTACGGCTGCTGAGGACAAAAATAACAAATCGGATGAAGAATATGGGAGCTATAGCTATATCTGATCCGATTTTCATCAAATGTGACATCCTAGTTTCTAGACTCAATTTGGCCAAATTCCATCACATTTGGGCTAATTACACGTTTGGTTCACAATAAAAGACAAATCGGACGAAGATATATATGGGAGCTATATTCAAATTCAAACCGATCTCGATAACATTTAGCAAAGTTATTTCTGAGCTGCATTTGATATAATTTCGCAAATACTATCGTCACAGCGTGCATATTACGGCTGCGGAGGACAAAAATAACAAATCGGATGAACAATATGTATGGGAGCTAAGCTATATCGGAACCGATTTTTTTCAAATTTAATATACCTCTTTTCAGGTCTAATTCCAAATTCCATACTGTTTGGGCTGATATTACAAGTTTGGGCACAATAAAATGCAAATCGGACGAAGATATATGTGGGAGCTTCATCTAAATTTTGGCCGATTATCTCCAATTTCAATAGGATTCGTCCTTGGGTCAAACAAATGATTTTGCAAAATTTCATCTCGATCGAGCAATAAATACGACCTATACTTTGTTTACAAAAATACGGACGGACATGCATAAATCGACTCATAATGTGATTATATGCAGATCATCAAAAGGAACTATGGGTCTATCTCGTTTCCTTTTGTCTGTTACAAATAATCTTCTCAACACTCCCCCTACTCTTCTACAGTACACAGCAACATGAAAGCTAAATTTTACGTCTACCATAAGTTTGACACAATAACAAATAAAAAGGCTGTAAGTTCGGCCGGGCCGATCTATGAATACCCTCCACCATTTTTAACGATTTTGGCAATTTTCAAAAAAATTAAATCCGTTAAAAATTCTGTTCAAATTTTAAAAATACCGAATGTAGCCGTTATATTAGGGTCTATATGACGACGTGGACCTGCGTAGGCAACTTTTGTCATAAACCATTACAATATTCAAATGTGAAACTTGAATAAATAAAATTCGGTGAATAATGTAGCTAAAATCATCAAAATAACATCATCAAAATATACGAAGACGTGGACTTGCACAGACAATTTTTGTCGTAGGTTGTAGTATTCATTACGAAGTACGAACACCAAATTTGAAACAATTCCGGTGAATAATGTCACTAAAATCATAAAAAACCGAATATCGGGAGGTACCGTTATATGGGGGCTATACCAAAACGTGGACCTACATCACCCATTTTCAATATCAAAAGTTCTTTGTAAAATTTTATCAACCTACTTCTAGCTTCCGGACGAAATGCTAGAGTGAATATATAGAACGTTTTTGGACTGGCTTAAGTCATCGGCTGGCTTCTTCGAACAAAGGAGCGTAGGGCCAAAATCGAACTAAGTCAACCTAAAACTCCTTTGTTCCTCTACGTAGAAGACAGCCGTTGACTTAAGCCAGTCAAAAAAAGCGTTTTACGCATTCTTACCTTAAGTCTTTCATTTATTTGAGAATTAATAGTTACGAAATCCGTCATGTATTTTATTTTTACCTAAAAAGTAGTGTTGCTCGTGTCTTCTTGCTAAAAGTTAAAGTACGGAAAAATGCCCACTGTTTTATCTCAAAGAACACTTGTTTTTCACTCTTCTGTTTTTGACAACAGACACACTTGTAGGTTTCTTCAGTTCTACGAAAAAAGTGCTCACGTATATCGAGGGTAGTCGAACGACGACCAGACACTAATTGATGATAAGTGTGCCTTTTTGATAAAGTGCCGTTGTAAGAAAACAACCTTCTCATTATTAACTTTTTACGAAAGTTTACAAAAAAAAGTTACGAAATTGTAAACAATGTGCTGATTTTTTCTGCCCCTTCGATCGCTTGCATTCTTGGCGAATTCTGATCATTTTATGCATTAATTAATTTACTTTCACTCTTCGATTACGATAAAAAAAAAACAAGTTTACTTTACAACGCTTTATTGCAAATACTTTAAATTCCACTAATGATATGTAAACATTAAATTACAGCCCAACAGAGAGAGAGGTTGTCATATTGGGATATTAGTGTGTGCTGAAATGAGGAAAAAGAGCTGCATTGCAAAATAAATATAAAAATATCTATACCCAATCTTTATGAAACATATTTTTTAAATCTAATATTTTTTTTTAATAATTTAAGACCCGTCCGTCAGCTTTTAATATATTCAAACATTCATGTTCAAATTTCGACGCACCTGCGTTGTTACATATTTAAACCCAGTGCTAAGTCATAAACAATGCCGTTGTTTTAACCAAACAGTTGTTCGCTTCACTGTGACCTTGTCACCAAACAGTTTTGATACTAAAAATGTGCTGCGTTTTGGTATTTCTGAATTCATGCAT